AAAAAAAAAAAGAATAAAAATGAAAAAAAAAAAAAAAGAATAAAAATGAATAAAAATGTATAAAAATGAATTAAAATGAATTAAAATGAATTAAAATGAATTAAAATGAATTAAAATGAATTAAAATGAATTAAAATGAATTAAAATGAATTAAAATGAAATAAAATGAATTAAAATGAATTAAAATGAATTAAAATGAATTAAAATGAATTAAAATGAAATAAAATGAATTAAAATGAATTAAAATGAATTAAAATGAATTAAAATGAAATAAAATGAATTAAAATGAATTAAAATGAATTAAAATGAATTAAAATGAATTAAAATGAATTAAAATGAATTAAAATGAATTAAAATGAATTAAAATGAATTAAAATGAATTGAAATGAATTAAAATGAATTGAAATGAATTGAAATGAATTAAAATGAATTAAAATGAATTAAAATGAATTAAAATGAATTAAAATGAATTAAAATGAATTAAAATGAATTAAAATGAATTAAAATGAATTAAAATGAATTAAAATGAATTAAAATGAATTAAAATGAATTAAAATGAATTAAAATGAATTAAAATGAATTAAAATGAATTAAAATGAATTAAAATGAATTAAAATGAATTAAAATGAATTAAAATGAATTAAAATGAATTAAAATGAATTAAAATGAATTAAAATGAATTAAATAAAAATAATTAAAAATGTATACAAATGAATAAAAATAAATGAGTAAAACAATTAATAAATAAAAATAAATTAAAATAAATATAAATGATTAAATAAAAGAATAAATAAAAATAATTGAAAATAAATAAATAAAAATAATCAAAAATAAAAATGAATGAATAAAAATAAATAAAAACGAATAAATAGAATAAAAATGAATGAAAATGAATAATAATAATAAGTAATAAACAAAAATAAATAAAAATGAATGAAAATAAATAATAATAAATAAAAATAATTAAAAACAAATAAGTAAATCTTTTTACACCCTGATATGACAAATATGAGGTGTAAAAACGACATATCTCGATATTCCGACAGTTTTATGTGACTTGTTAGATAGTCGTACCAGAAATGTGGTTTAAAAAGAGATTTTCAATTGGAGTATTTTATTTAAATATTAGATTACTCTACTTAACTCCAGTGGCGTGCGGTGACATTTTGGAAGGGGAAGCGATTGTATAAAAATACAGCAGGCCAGTAAGCACAGCGTCGCAGATGAACATTTTTCGCGGCGCATTCACCATTTTGTCAAAATCATGCGTTTTTTCTCAGTACTAAGGATATTCGAGATTAAGATTTTTGAAGTGTTACTATTACTTTATTACCTAGTTTAGTACTAGAAGCTATAGAAAACTTACCATTAAAAAGCTTCCTTGGTTTATTTAAACGTAAAAAAAAACATTTAACTGAAGTGTTTAAAAAGCTGTTGAATTTCGTATAAAACTTTTAATGCGCTTTAAAGCTGAAAAACTTCGCTCAACTAACGCACTTGTGGCTGGGATGGTTAGTACTAATTAACACAACTTGACGACTTCACAAAGGGACTTATTTAAACCAGTTGTTATAAGAAAATTTAACACATTGATGGGCGTCTTTTTATCACTAATTTCAGTTGTTTCATAAACAACACTTAACTGGGACTTTAATGCTGGAATATCAAAAAAATTTCCATAATTTAATTTTAGTGAATCAAAAGCTTCCGATGGAAATTTTGATGAATCGTAGTTACTAATATCAAAATTGCACAATTCAACAAATTTTAATTCGTTAAAGTTTTGAAATCGAGAGTTCATTTGTTGTAGAATATTATCAAAAATTTCGGCGTATAATCGACGATAGGAGGTCTCTCTGTCGCCGACATTATCAATTCTAATTATCTTTCTTTCAGGTTCTAAGCCAATGTTTTGAGTCTTATTCCAAAAGTGTTCAAACTGATCTCGTATTTTATTCATTTTATTTTTAAAATCATCAATTTGTTTAATGCAAAAGCCAATGTCATTTGACTTTGTCTATAAAATGTTGAATAAAATGTCAGTAAAAGGAAAAATCTCTGCAAAAATGTTAAGCAAAAAATTGAAATCAAAGTTTTGTTTGAGCCAACGCAAACACCCTTAAGCAGTAGTAACAGTTTCAGCATCCCATGTTTCTTTATTATCTCAAACGTCTTGAAAAAAGTTTATCAGAGAATCACGGTATTGAAACACTGTTTGCACTAAACGTCCATTGTAGTTCCATCGCGGCGGAGCAATTTTTGGAAACTTTCTTTGAACGTGAACGACCAAAGCGCGAGTTCTTTTCGATGACTTTGAAAAGAAGGAAGCCAAACCACTAAGCGTCGAAAAGAAAACTTTGCAATCTTTAATATTATCCATGCTTCGCGATAAAACCAAATTAAGTCTATGTGCTATACAGTGAACGAAAATTGCATGTTTAAACTTTTCTTTCACTTTAGCTTGAAGGCCTCCTAAATGGCCAGCCATTACGGCAGCATCGTAGCTCTGGGAAACAAGGTTAGAACCACATTCTAAACTTGATATAATGTCACAAACAATTTTAAACAATGCATCTGCAGTTCGTTCGCTAGTGACGTCCAAAAATCCTAAGAATCGCTCTTGAGGAATGCCATCCAATACATATCGCACAACAATGGATAATTGACTTAAGTTTGCTACATCTGTGGTTTCATCAAGCGCAATTGATACGAAAGGTGCTTTTTTAATTTCACTTTTAATGTGATCCATCACAACGTCGGCAGTGCATTTAATTAAATCATTTTGGATTCTGTTTGAGGTACCTCGGAAAGTCGTCGAATCAATAAAATGATTTTTTAGGGTATTATCGTATTTTGCTAAAAAACTTAGAAGGTCCATGTAATTTCCTCGATTGGCGGATCCACTTGCTTCATTGTAACCCCTAAAACTTAGTCCATGCTCTCCCAGGAAACAAGTTACATCTATTAATCGTTGTAAGACGTCCCTATTTTGTTGCTTATTTTTAAATGATTGTCCAAACTATGTTCAATGCGATAGGTCCCGAATGTTTTTTCTTTAATTGTAGCACTTATATGAGATTTGCTATTTACATGTCGTTTTACACTTTTGTGAACATTATTCAAGTCTGTAATACCGACTGAGTTCCAATGTGTTTTTTCGACTATATTAAAAAGTAGGCAAGGCCAGCAAAACAACCTAACCCTAAACCTAAATCTAAAGTATTCATATGTTAAATAAAGATTAATTATAATAATAATAATAATAATAATATTTGACGCAAACAACTTTATATAAAATCTTAACCAATGTTAAATAAAGAATAATAATAATATATTTGAAGCAAACAACTTTATACATAATCTTAAGCAATGAACTTAATTATATCGAACTTTTACACTAGTAATTACATTTAAATTTTATATTTACATTATATACAAAATATCTTCACATTTTACTGCTGGGATAAGAGCAAACTTTTGACATTTTGTTTAAAAATACTTGTTGATTTGATATTTTTTATGTTAAGATCTAGGCCGATATATAGCTTAATCGCATTATACAGTGAGCATCTTAAGTCTTAGGGAGCGTTCAAGTATTACGTAACGCAATTTTTGGAGATTTTTAACCCCCCCTCCCCCCTATGTAACGCGCCGTAACGTTTTTGTGAAGGTAAAAAAGGTCAAATGGTGACTTGAAATTTTGAGAAAAAAAAAACGTTTTAAAAAATGCGTGAGAGAAACTCTCTACGCGACTTTTCTGAAGGGTTAAAAAATAATAAAGTTGCGTAACGCGTAGTTCAAACGCTCCTGTAACGCATCGTAACGTTTTACAAAAACCCCCCTCCCCCCCCAAATTCGTTACGTAATACTTGAACGCTCCCTTACCCCCCTAACTAACTCGTTACTGGGGTCTTGTTAGGAAAATCGCCGAGACAGGTCGATTTTTAATTTCTACAATGTACATTTTTGCATGATTAGTTAACCCTTAATTTCATCCCTTACTGGAGGGTAAAAACCCTTTCGAAAAATTTAAATGGCATGGGGTGGTGAGTGATAGCTCATTTGAAAGGGGGTTTTATTCTCTATTCAACCGTGCAAAAAAATTTTGAAATTTGCATCATTACATGTTGATTTATTAATGTTTAAAAATAACAAAACCTCACAAAATAGGAAAGCAACTAGACTAACAGTGACCTTCTAATGGCAAAAAGTCTTACTTCACGTCTGAACCAAAACCGAAGTCATGCAGGGCCGAATTTTAATTCTAAGGATGAGTGCGCTACGTTAATGTCCGTTATTCTGAAACAACAATTAGTCGAGAATTAATGAAGCAAATTTCAAATTTTTTTACACGGTTGAATAGAGAATAAAACCCTATTTCAAATGAGCTATCACTCACCACCCCATGCCATTGAAATTTTTCGAAAGGGTTGCTCCCCTCCAGTAAGGGATGAAATTAAGGGTAAACTATTCATACAAAAATGTACATTGTAGAAATCAAAAATCTACCTGTCTCGGCGATTTTCCTAACAAGACTCCAGTAACGAGTTAGATAGGGGGGGTAAGACTTATGGTGCTCACTGTATGAAAAAGATCTGGTGTATGTAGTCAAGCGAAATTGTGTCATATTAAGTTGTGATTGATCCCTAATAGCATACTGATGCATAGTTGCTCTGGGTATTAGTTTATCTATTAAATATACTGGTTTTGAGGATATAATTATTTTCTGTACAAATGTTAAAATACTGTAGTCAAATAAGTGTTGAACATTAAGCCATTTTAAACTAGTAAACAGGACGGATATATGGTCATATTTCCTCAAATTATAAATTAGGCGGCAACATGTATTCTGAATTATTTGTAAACGCCGCACACTGGGGCCGAATACCTTAAAAGTTGGTATTAATTCTTAGATGCCATGAATAGCGTATTAAAAGAATAAAATACATATTGTATGTCTATATTTTGTAAATAAAACATAAAACATTAAATTTTAATTATTAACTGTCGTCAGAATCAGTAAGAAATGAGTCATCGTCGTCATCGCCTTCATTACTTTGATACTCTGTGACTGTGGGAGGCACTAACAGATCTAAAGCATCTTTTGGTATGTTTTTCAGTTTCTTTTTAGGTTCCTTTCTCTTACTTGTCAACAATGGGTCTGAACTCAATAAAAACAAATTAAAAATGTCTTCATTGGATTTTTCCCGGCAACATTTCCTGGAATATTGTTCGCGGTAATTTTTGAAATCTTTGTTACGCGTCTCTTGCGCCTCTTCAGTCAGTTGGTCAATTGGCAACAATGCACTAGATACTATGGGTCCTATGATTGAACGTTTACGTTATCCGTAACGTACATGTTAGTCCAAATTTTAAAAGCAACGAGGCAAGTTCTTATGATGGAAACCTGTTAAATTAGAACATAACAGGCGGAAAATAACAGTAATGTGTTGGAAAAAGTTTTCCATCGTACGAACTTGCCTTGTTACTGTTAAAACTCGGCCTAACATGTACGTTACGGATAACGTAAACGTTCAATCATACGACCCATTATCTGCTCCGTGTATAAAAAACTTATGTAGTGTAGGAGGCATACAGTACCAGTCATACAAATTTACGAAGTGTCTGGCAGTATCATGTGTATATTCGCGGAATCGCTCGATGTTGATGGAGTGTCCACATGATACTACTATCATTATAATGTGCATTTTTTTTATTAGTTCTACATCTAATTTGGTTATTTCTGCAGAGACTTCTGGATTAGAAAAAAACCGCCTGGCAGTGTTGCCGTCATTAGAGTTTCCAAATCCAGGCTTAGGGAAGTCCACGATTAGTCCAGTTTTTTCCCTAAATTTGGATTGGATTTTTTTTTTGTTTCTGCAACTATTACCTTATCTTCACCTCCAGCTTGCCACTTTTTAATTGGGAATTTATAGGAAATATGGAGGAGAACCTCAAAAAAACGTATCCAACCATGTAGGACAGATATTCCAAATTGTAAGTTTTGTGTTGTTATTTCTCTATTAATCATTTTATCAATATCATTAAAATCTTTTGTCGTTGCTCCGAAAATGTAACACTTCTGTGTAGATGTTGTTTCTGTGAGAGCATTGCAAATATTGCCATCTATCATTGCAAAAATCATATTGTGACTGACTGAAATAGATCTACTGTTTAAGTTTAATTTACTGTTCTGCAACTGTTGTATTTCAGTATCTACACGATTTTTTTCTGCGACAGAAACTTCTGATGATTCTTTTATGATAGCAATTTTTAGAGGTCTGCAGTATCTCGTAGAAGACGGGCGAGGATTCTGCCAAACTATTTTCGAGTTATTGCTATCTGTGTCACATACTAAACGAAGTGGTACGATGGAAGTTATAAATACAGATGAATCACTTGCTTGGAATCCATGGAACGCCTGCTTATAGGAACTATGAGCTGCCATCGAAACCCCACTTTGTCATCAACTGTAGTTTTTCTACTTGTTCGTTATTTAATGATGATTTTACGCTCTCCTGCACACTTTTTAAACGTTCCACAGTATGATTATAAGGTCCTGTAACGAGACTTCCGCGAAGGTCTCACTTACTTTAATATTATTTGGGTAACATTTTTTTTTCTCAGCTTGTAATATTTTATATGAAGGAAATCTGTCCGGATTAGACTATCTTATCAACCTATATTGGTGCCTAGACAACTAAGCGTCTACTAGTAAAGCCAGGGCATCTTCACCAGACATCTTACGTGGCTCTTTCTCAATTGAAGTTTTGTAGGCTTTTCTATATTTGCTCGCCCGTTTCGGAGATGTTGAAGTTATATCTTTTAATAATTTGGAAGCCTCTGTATTTCCTGATGCCCTTAAACTCATCTGTGTGGCGAAACTTAGCTCTGCAATAGATTTATTTTTTCGCAGGTCTTCTGTTTTTTTGCGCTTAGTTCGCTCATTGCTCTCTTCAAAAGGAACTGTTGGACGTCCTCTCATAGTCGAGATAGACTGCCTGTAGCGGGTGAAAGATATTAACGTGTCGGGCCAATTATATTTCTTAAGAAACCTATTCCTAGATCTACCTACATACAACCATCTAGACTTAAATTCTGATTTAAAGTGGTATATTTGGCTGTTTATATCCTTCAAATCTGTATCAGGACAGCCTGTGCGTTCTTTAAGATAACTTGTTAAAAACTTGAATTGGTCGTCAATTTTACTCTGACCAGAATTTGTTAAGATGTCGTATAGTTCCCTTCTTGATATTGCTATAGAGCTATAACTAGGCCCTGAAATAAATAAGCATCAAGTAATTAAAATCCTCATAACTAAAATAACACTATTTTCGCAAATAAATCGCCATTGTAATATTTCATAAAAATATTTGTGTTTCTCAGAAGCATATAGATGTACAGTTGTGTATTAAGGCATATCGAGTTATTTTATGTTTATGAATAAAATATTTTGTTATTGTGCCTCTGCGGCATGTTTTCCAAATTTTGCGTTTTTTGATGATTTTGGTTTAAAGATATTTTTTTTTTAGAAAAAATCGCAAAAAATCGCAAGAAATTTGAACTACTCGATATGCCTCGATACGAAACTAAAACTCACATATCTCTGCGAAACACAATATTTTCATGAAATATTACAGCTATGATTTCTAAGTGTTTACTTTTACCATAATTACAAATTTACTAAGTAATAATTATGAAAATTTAACACGTACCTGCCGCTGACGTCTCCATATTAAATTAAAAAACAACAAAGATGATTTACCACATTCACACTGTTTTTTATAATCGCGTAACCAAACGGATTAACAGGCGGTATACGTGCACTTTCTATTACCCCTTTTTTACGACTGAGGTGTGAGGAGCGGGAGAGACTTACAGTCCCGAGACATTCGCTGTCTTATGTGCTGGAGTGTTGGTAACATTTCTGCAATAAAGCGAATGTATTCAAAGCACTTTTGATTTTTGAATTAATACCAGATTTTAATGGATTCTGCCCCACTGTGCGCCGTTTGTTTTCACTTGTAAAGCAAGGATAATAAACAATAAGCCCATATAATAATTTAGATATTATTAAGCTTTCACTTAGGTTAATTTTCATATTTTTAGTTAGGATATGTTTACTAGCGAAAAGTAATCGTAACCGTAAATAACATTGTTGTAATACATGTTGTATATGTGAATGAAACCTGAATTCCTTATCAAAGTAAATCCCTAAATTTTTTGCAGACGAAACAAAGGATATTATGTCATCATTAATTTTAATGGTGATGTTGGCTTTGAGATTTTCTCTATTTAGTTTATTACCAAATATAAACACATTAGACTTTTCAGGATTTAAGCGCAAATTGTATGGACGTGAATATTTTGAAATGGATTCCAGATCTTCGGTAACTAGATTCGCTGCAAGTTCGGACTCTGATATTTTAAATTCTCGGTATATTTGAGTATCATCTGCAAAAAATTCAGCATGTGAACTTAATTTTTTCTGCCAGATCAGATATGCATAAAAGAAAAAGTAAAGGTCCTAATACCAAGCCTTGCGGTACACCTGAGACTATTTGATTAGGTGTTGAAATTTGACTATTTATTATGACTTTCTGAGTGCGATTCCTTAGATATGATTTAATAAAATTCGAAGATATATCGTCAAAACCGTAATATATGCATTTTGATACCAACAGGCAATGGTTAATGGTATCAAATGCTTTTGAAAAGTCTAACAAGACCAAAAAAAACATATTCTGTTTATCAATGGAAGATAGGATGTTTTCTGACAAACAGGCCAAAGCAGAAGTAGTGCTAAGGTTTTTTTGAAATCCGGACTGATGTATAGGTATAATATTATTTTCAGATAAGTAATCGCTGATCTGTACATAAACAATTCTTTGTAGAATTTTGGATAACAAAGAAATTAAACTGATAGGTTTCAGTTCATTATAGGAAGATGGATTTGGGCATTTAGGTAGAGTTATTACTAACGATGTTTTCTAATAATCAGGAAAATATCCCAATTCTAGACAACGATTTATGATATGTAAGAAATAAATGCCAAAAACAGGAAAACAACGTCTTAACATTTGTGGTGTAATACCATCTGTACCGCAAGAATTGGATTTTATTCTAAGAATAGCTTTGCTTATGTTTTCTAGGTTAACTAGTTTTAATTGAAAGGTTTTGTTTGGCAGAAATTTTTTTGTTCTATAAAATAAAATATTTTCAGCACATTGCTCATCACTATTTTGGAATATAGAAGTAAAGTAATCATTGATTTTGTATGGATCTTGAAATTGAGAAGGTAAATCTGATGTGCCTGAAGAATGAATTTTCATATCATTGAGAGTTTTGTAAAAAGATCTAATATTTTGCTTTGATGTAACTGTTCCATATAAGCACATTTTTCGTTTCTTAAACAAGATAATGCGAAATTTCTTAAATGTTTGTACTCGTTCCAACTATAAAGTGTTCGATTTTGTTTATACTTTCGCAATGCTTTATCCCGTTCATTAAATATTAATTTCAGGTTGGCTGTTAACCAGGGAGTACGTGACCTTTTGACACTGGCTGTGCGAAAAGGACTGTAAATCGAATAAGCTAGTAATATCAGACAAAAATTCAATTTTTTGGTCTATTGAGTTTAATTGTAAGATACTGTGCCATGGGATATTTAATAAATCATGATTGAATAAATTGGTATTAAAATTACTAAAATTTCTATACGTGACAAACTTATCATGGGATATTTTTTTACTAGTAGTGAGTTCACAAAATGTCATCTGATGATTACTGAATAGATCAATATTAATGGTACCTTGTTTGGTTACATTACTAGGCGTATTAATAAAAATAGGATCTATTAAAGTCGCACTTGTTTCAGTGATATGTGTTGCTTCTGTAATAAGTTGGACCAAACCATATGAATTGAAAGATTCAATCATTTTATTTTTTGAAACGAACATGTCTACATTCACGTCACCCAATATTATAATGGTGTCATAACTGGTAATAATTTGAGGAATAATGATATCGAGACATTGTAAACATTCTGACAATTTTGAATTTGGTGGTCTGTATAATACATCAATACAATAACTACATACACCAATCTTAAATTTTAAGAATAAATATTCTACAGAGACATTAATGTATTTACTGAAGTCTAAGGGTTCATATTTGAAGTTAGATTGGACATAGAAGCCCACACCTCCACTTATACGATTAGGTCGGTCTTGTCTATAAAAGCTATAACCAGGGAGTGAGACATGACTTGAGGGAATTTTACTTGAGAGCCAAGATTCAGATATGCCTATGATATCAAAATTGTTTTCACTAACTAGGTCAGTAAAGTCACTTAGGCTGGAAATAAGTGATCTGACATTTGCATGAGCAATTTTAAGATTACCTCTATTATGCAAATTATTTTTATTAGCCATTGATCTAGACTTTATGATTATTGTTATTAATGAAATAATTCAAAAATATATTTAAATGCACTTTTATTTCCTTATTTATTTTAACAATATTGTCGCTCGAACAACCTGAACGAACTGCCCTAAAATCTGTTACAATTCCTAATCTTTTGAATACACATGGCTAAGGGCCATGTGTTGTTACATTTATTTCTTGGGCACAAACAGTATCCTGTTTCAAATTAATTGTCTTTTATGGTTGACTGGTGGTTGACCCATTTATTATGGTGTCACACTGGTGATAAATATGTCACTAAATAATATAGATGTTAACACTCGGCCGTCCTGACGTAAGAAGTGTCCTCGCTTCCACAGTTAGGTTTGGTATTTTTAACCTTCTTTCGATCGCCTTCAAGTTGATTGATTTTTCTGAAAAAGAAAATTGCACACAGTAATTATATTTTAACATTTTTTTTGTTTTATTTTTATTTATTTTTTAAATTTTTTTTTTTAATTATTTTTACCTTAGAAAAGGGCTTTTATTTTTACCTCCGAAGAGAGCCTTTATTTTTACCTCAGAAGAGGGCTTTTTCTTTATTTTTACCTCCGAAGAGGGCTTTTTTATTTTTACCTTCGAAGAGGGCCTTTATTTTTACCTCAGAAGAGGGCTTTTTTTTTAATTTTTACCTCCGAAGAGGGCTTTTTTATTTTTACCTCAGAAGAGGGCTTTTTTTTATTTTTACCTCAAAAGAGGGCTATTTTTTATTTTTACCTCCGAAGAGGTCCTTTATTTTAACTGTGAATAATACTAAATCCTAAAAAAAATTATATATTTATAAATGCAAATCTATTTAAGTACATACTATAAATAAGTTACACTTTGAGTAAAAGGTCTTTTTTACTAAAGGTCAGACGTACAGCACTACAATCTGTAATAATTTTAAAGTGCAACCCGGTTAGGTAAATTCGAAGGCGCTTAATTGATTCATTTACAGCTAATGTTTCCAACTCGTATGAATGATAAATACTTTCTTCCCTA